AACAATAACTTCGTCCGAACGAAAAGTGTTTCAAACAAAAGTTGTATCTCTGGCTGTCGTCAGCTACATAGTGATATAAAATAATGAAATTTCTCATAGTAGCAAGTAATAGCGAGACGGATTTGTATCGTTTCCACAGTGGTCTGGGATCGATGCCAACATGACACGTACAAAATCACGTCCCATCTTTTCGTTCCGCTTTTGGGTCTCGGACCTGTCCCGCGCTATCCGGACCTCGCAATATCCGGCGCGGCGGCCCGTAGTTCCGGCTTTCTTGTATACGCGCCTTTTATTCGAACCGGTCTTGATAAAACGTACCTACCTGCTCACCGTTGTTTCATCAGAATGCTGGACTTTTATCGATCGACCTTCACCTCTGCGACTCGTAAATCTCTTTTGCATGATTTTGTTACGTGGCAATGCGTTTTATTGGAAGACTATTAAGTTTATTATTATTACACGGAATCATGCTTCTATTATGTCTAAGACAAGCAGAAATTAGTGCTCTTTATTCATTTTTATAAAGTCTCTATTTTTATAACAAAATGAATAGTAACTGATCCGTACATTAATAACCCTTGCCCAGGCTGAGTCATTTTTAATTCAAGGTATGAGCTTCGCGACACCAAGAAAGAAGCACCACCTCTTTTCATCTCCTGCTTATCGAGTATTTTTCCTCTTTATGATACAAGCATTATTAGATAATATTTTGCATTGAGAAGATAAATTCAAAGTATGTATAATGAAAATTAATTTATATACNCATACTCATACTATTAAATATATTTTTAACTGAAAGGACAATTACGAAATGCTGAAAATAATTATGGAGTCTCTTTTTCACACCATTTGATAAATTCAAATCGATCTCACTGTCAACAAGTGAGTACAAGAACATATTTATCCTTGCCAATTTGTAATAACGCGATTGTCTCAGGAACAATATCTGAATAGTCCTTACGCAACTGGATTTCCGCGACGCACAATGACACAAAGGAACAAGTTTGCGAACGAACCTGAGAAATCTGTCTGTCAGGTCACTGTCTTTTCACTTCCTGTTCCTTGCATCGACAAACCAGGAAACGCGGGACACGATAAATAATTTATCGCATTAATTATTGTTCGTATACCCGCATAATTCGACCCCGAGAGGAAAGCTCGTTTCGTCGTTTCTCTTCAAGATTTTTTGTCGTAAACCCTACGATAAGAATCACAGTACCCCATAATCAAGCCAGTTCCAAGGAGCTGCTTCCCCTATAAAATGAACCGCATAGCTCATCATAAAGGTATCATTTTTTATGTGTCCGTCGGAGAATGCAGAAACTGGCTCGAGCCCGACACGATCGTAGAAATTCGAACACTCGGAGAAAATTTGTACCTCGATTCGTCATATCGATTGATTTACCATCATACTAATGACATCACGGAATGGTAAGTGTTATGTAACAGTATAAAGGCACTTTCCAATGGCAGTGGAATGTCGTTACGTCATGGTTAAACGCGAAGGGAACCATAGTTGTTGCACCGATCGATCTTTATCAGGAACACTATTAAGATAAACCTCTTTCGGGTGTTATTTCGGTAACACCTACGCGGGTTATTTATATACGGAACACACAACTGTTTCTTCCTAGATAATTATAGATTATTATATGCTTCTGTTCTTTCGTAAGAGATGCGAGATGAACTCTTCTGTTCGAGCGCATCAGGGACATGTGATTTCTAAACGAGTGCCTAAGTAAACACCCGAACGAAAACACCGTTGACATGTGCGACAGAAGAAGTATTGAGGTTGGCCGGAGTATATCTTCTAATATTTTATAGTTGGACTAGAAGCCATGCTCATTTTTTACTTTCAACAGGCTATTATCGTTTACTTTTATTCCAATAAAGAGTTTATTTGTTATTA